CCAGCCAGATCACCTGACAGTGAAATTCCCGGTCAACAAGCCCACACACAACTTCAGCTCCTAATCCCCCACTCAAATGTGAGCAGACAACAAAAGGGTATGAGGAACATGAGGAAAGTCTCTAACAGGAAAGACAGAGACCTAAACAAATCAACAGACAAAAGCAACATGCGGAAACTGAGTCTGTGAAGGAAGGAAAAAACTTTCAAAAAAATTAAACTCCGCAGAGAGATAAGACACTGAAACCATAAAATAAAAGCAAGAAATAGATATGGAAGGGGCCAAGGGCAAGCCACCTCCAAATATGCCACTTTGGCATGTTGATTATTTTAAATAAAAGTTACTTAGGAGACAGCCTATGCAGCAAGAACACCAGACCCTCCTCTGTCCCTTGAAAGCAGGAAATAAATCTCCCAAGTGAAAGGTACCCTCCCTGCATCAGGAGGTAAAAAGACTACCTTAATTCCAGAGATGGGAAATTTAGAGCCCAGAAGGTTCTATAAACAACCCTGGTTACTTTTTACTCATTTACTACCACAGCCCAAATTCTGTTTAGAATTCTTTACTAATTGGAGTTCCCAAATTTTCTTTGTCCTGTCAATTCCTCACAGATTTATTGTCTCTATGTCTAAAAAATATAAAAAACCTGCCTGCTTGCCTGCCTGCCTCATCATTTCTTCAGGTCTCAATTTCATAATTGGGCCTCTGTGCATATGGAATAAAACTGTTTTTTTTTTTCTCTTGTTAATCTGTCTGATTTAAATTTAATTCTTAGTCCAGCTAGAAGATCTTGAGGGTAGAGAAGAATTTTTCCTTCCTTTCAATGTACCACACACACACACACACACACACACACACACACACACCCTCAGAAAACAAAGAGCTTTTAATTTAAAATATTAAAAATATGATTATACTTATTAAAAACTCAGTGGAAGGATGAGATGATAAAATTGAAAAAAAAAATCACCCCAAAAGCAGAACCAAGAAATTAAAAGACACATATTAGGAAAGAAAATTAGAGGCCTAGTCCAAAATATCTAATATATAAACAATAAGAGTTTTTGAAAGACACATCTCAGAAAATGGAGAGGAGGAAATTATCAATGAGTTAATTCAAGAAAACTTCCCAAATTGAAGGGTATAAGTTTCAGGATTCAAAGAGCCCAGCACAATGGATGAAAGCAGACCCATACTAAGGAGGAACATCATGAAATTTCAGGATTATGGAGGCCAAGAGAAAATTCTATGAACTTCCATGAAGGACTCAGTAGGTTTGTAAACTGTACAGCAAATTACAGCAAAAATTAAGGAATCAGAACAGTTCCGAATTTCTCAATAGCAACACCACAACCCAGAAGGCAATGAAACAATGCTTTCAAATTTTCCATCCTAAAATTCTAAACTATCAATTGTCAGTAGAAAACAGCTATTTAGAGGCATTCACCATCAAGAAAAAAATACATATCCATCCATCTTTTCCAAGAAGCTCCTTGAGAACATGCTCTATCAAAACAAAGGACTCTACCAAGACAGAGAGGACATGCACTACAGGTTAAGAGGAGAGAAATGATGGGGATCCCCAGGATGATGACGAAAGGAAGTCCTCAGGGTGACAACTGTGTCCCATGTGTAGAGGTGAACTGGTCCATATTAGGGCAAGCCAGGAGGCTCAGGGACAACTTCAGGAAAATGAAATTGGCAGAATACCTGATGCATCTGAGGCAAGTTTCAGAAATCTGGCCAAGAGATTTCTTGGCCAGAGAATTAACGATGAAGACGTAAGAAACTAAGTAAATGAACAAACAAAGCAATGATGAACTCCAAAGAAAACAAAGAGCTGTTTTCTGCTTAGCTATGTACATTGATCTAACCAAAATTACTGTTTAACCACTGCAAGGATGGAAAATTAGGGAAGCTGTGGTTGGGTGGGGGTGGGGGGGTGAGAGGAAAAGAGGGAGCCACGTCATCCTCTTCCATAGTGGGAAGTCAACAGATAAAGCCTCAAACTGCAAAACTCAAGAAGTAGCAACTATAAGCAACAAATACCAAAATAACCAGCTCAAAGAATTACATGTGGTTGTTTCTAGAAAGAGAGAAGTCTAATTTAGATTAAAAGTTTAAAACTGGGGTGCCTGGGTGGCTCAGTCTGGTTAAGCATCCGACTCTTGATTTCAGCTCAGCTCATGATCCCACTTCGTGGTTCAAGCCTGCATCAGGCTCTGCACTGACAGCATGGCACCTGCTTGGGATTCTCTCTGCCCCTCCCCCACTCATGCTTGCTCGCTCTCTCTGTCTCTCTCTCTCAAAACTAATAAACATTTTTAAAAAGCTTAAATGTATATACATATATATATACGTATGTATACATATATGTATACATATGTACACATGTATACATATATGTATATATGTATATGTGTGTATATATGTATATGTGTGTGTACATATGTATATGTATGTATATGTATATATACATACATATACATACACATATATATATATTCCATATATATACATGGAATTTGGCAAAATGCCATCCTTGTTTTTCCCAAACAATAGAAAATGTAATTTTCTACATCTAGGCCACAATGGCTGTGGTCATCTGAGCTCTGAGCAACCAAATGTGGTGGGAAAGGTAATAGTTATAATCCAACCAAGGAAGGAGTGGTTGATCTAGGGCAGAGACAAAAAGGCAAGTCCAGGTGGAGATAACTAATAAGCCCCTCTCTTCTGGGATTCTTTTCAACAAAGCTATTCTCATGGCATAATCACATAGTACAGGATAATCTTACAATTGCCAACAACCATGAGCTAATTTCACTAACAGACTCCAATGTCCCCTTTACTACACTAATCTGACCAAGGCAACTGGCCCCTAAAATGATTGATCTGCGTTCAACCTCACTCCTTTTCACCTCTGTAGACTAAATAACAAGAGAGAATAAGGACTCTAAAACAAGTGACGTTGTCCTCAACAGATATTTACTAAACATCCTCGGGGGACCCTGCACTAGGCTGAGGGTCAACACCCCTGTGCAAACTATGTGGACCTAGTCTCTCTGCCCTGAACAATAAGGTAATTCTCCCTAAGGGTAGGAATCCAGGGAGGGGTGGAGTGGGGTGGAAGCATAAAACCGGAAGAGCCAGGCAGGGAGAGGAGGCACCAACCCAGCCAACCTGGAGGAACCTGTAAGCAGAGGTGTGCTTAGAGACCCAAGGCTCAGTCTCCTAGCACTCTGGATATGCAGAGGAAGGCAGGGAGACCAACAATTCTTCCCCAAGCATAACCCTTCCAACCACCCTGTCAAGGGTTAACTTTACAGAGCAAAGGTTACCATTCTCTGAGCTTGACCATGATTTGATCAAACATAGCCCCTGCCCTTTAGTAACCATCTGCTGAAATAACATGATGACTGGCTTAGCACAGAATAAGTAAACAGGTTAAACGTGCTAGAGCATACATGAGTATTCTATATTCGTTTCTATTTGGGGAGTTGTGAAAATTTTAGTTCAAAGACCTATGTGGAGCAAAGGTTTTGCCAACTAGAGCACAGCACTGATTTGCATGTGTTTCCAACACTTGCCCTAGACAGTTCCAAAAAGCAAACATACACACCCTTATGAGAAGACTCAAACTCACTAACATAAATACACTGCAGTAAGCATCATGAATTGCCAACAATAGTGATGTATTGATCAGATTAATTGAGCAATGGGGAAAGTATAGGTCTTTCCTAAACACTGAAAATGGAACTGAACTAAAAAAATACTTCTCCGTACATGATGAAAAAATTACAACATACTTTCTTTTCTCCATATAAATCATGATATTCCATCCCACATGTGATTCTTGCCGACTAAGGAACTACCAGGGTCACAAACCAACCTGTTACATCCTAAACTTAATTGGGAAACCCACTGGTTTGTTGAGGTTGTTTTTTCCACCTCAGCTCTTTAGGGGAGACTCATCTCAAAGAGATTAAATTCTCAGAATTTCCTAAAAGGAAAATGGGCACTCACTGGAAAAATACAGGGTATATGCTCAAAACGCTCAACTATTTTGGATAACCTTCAAACTCAGCCACCAGCCCATCCTGTTCCCAGTTGACACTGAGGTCAACTCTTCTAATCAAATATTCCAGTTTCCAAAGAATGGCAACAGATGAGACTGTTTCTGAACCTGGTACACAGAAACACATTATTATTCTTCCTTGAAAAAAAATTTCAGATCAAAAGGAAATTTAGGATCCAAGAAAAGCGCACACTCCCAGGTTAAGATCCTAGTTTTTCCAATACTTGTAGTCACCGAACCCCTGTTTTCAAGATTCAAACAATTTCCCAGATTTAAAAAAAAAAAAAAAAAAAAAAAAAAAAAGTGAATTTGGTGGGGTGAGGCACTCGGACACGTACAACTGTGGAATGTCTCCGTCGATGGTGCCAACTTTCAATGGAGGCTGTGCTGCCACCCAGAGAGGACGAACCAACCTGGCTGCGCAGCTGGGAAGCGAACCCAACGCTGAACTTGCCGCGGGGCGGCCTGAGCCCTGGGACCCGAAAAGAAAGGGGGCGGGGGCTCCTCCGGAGAGGCCAACGCCTGAACTCGAGGGGCCGGGAGGCGCGGGCCGCCGGGAAGGTGCGACTCCGCGGGAGCGCGCACCTGTCCCTTCTTCCCGGACCCAAGGGGACCTGGTCCCTCACCTGGCGTGGCGGGCCCGCGCTCACCACGCCGCGTTAGGGATAAAATCTTCCTCATCCCAGGAAGGCCAGTCTTTGGGCTCGTGGAAGCCACCTCTCGCCTCGCGCCGGTCCCGACCCTTTCCTGCCCGGATCCCCGCAGTCCCGGGGCCGGCCCGGCCAACCCGCGCGCGCGGCGTCCTTACCTGGCTGGAGCCCGCGGGGTGCGCGGAGCCGCCGACAGTGTGAAGTCCCGCGGGCGCCGCGGAGTTCGGCGCCCGGAGCCCGCAGGCCCCACCCCCGCCCCGCCCCGCCCCGCTCGCTCCGCCCCCGCTCGCTTCTGCCCGCAGCAACCGGTTCCCACGAGCCCTGGGGCGGTTTTGAGACTGGAGGCGGGAGTGGGTTGGACGCGCGTCCCGGCTCCTGAGACCCAGCTGGAGTTTCAGGTAAGTCTGGGCTTCCCTAGGCCCAGACTTCCTACCCCGGGAGAAACGCCCCGCGAGGTTTGGGACATCCCCGGCCCCGGGAGAACCCCGAGCAGTGCCACCTGTGGGTGACTGGGGACTCTGTCGGAACTAGGAACCGCACCTCCCCTTCCGCTAAGCGGTGGCGGGCCAGGTGGATGGCACGGTGCAGTAGAGCGAAGCAAGAGGTTTATGAAAAGAGTAAGTCTTTTTCTGTCAAACCTGAGGCATCGGAGCACATCTGATACACTTACAAGGTCACGTGCATTGACTGTTAATGTATTAACACTTGCCTCACTCACTGAAAAGTAGAAAACAGCACCTATGTAAGACTTACGGTGTGCCAGGCTCTGTTTTGGTACTTTACATGTATTACCATTTCTATAAAGTATATGCTATATCAGAATCCCCCATTTTACATGTGGTGAAAGTGAGGCACAGAGAAGTTACATAACCAACCTCATGTCGCTCAGCATAGTAAGCTGAAAAGCTGGGATCTAAATCCAGATCGTCCTCCTCTGGAGTCTGCCCTCTAAACCACTGCCATCCTGACACCAGAATCTGAGTGCCCACCGTGTGCAGGGAACTGTTACAGGCCCGGGGAAAACAAGAGGAGGGCTCTGCCCTCAAAGGAGCTTGTATTCTAGTTTGAGGGGAGAAAAGACAAGAAGCAAGTTCAAAATGAAACCACTGCACATATGAGATGTGTTGACTATAGTCATACAGCAGGGTGGTGGCATTGAGAGTGAGGGGGAGAGGGAGGCTACTTTCCACCTGGTCGTCCTGGAGATTCCTCTGGGAAGGTGACAGTGGAGCTGGGTACTGAACAAGGGGACAGGCATCTTCAACTGAAGATGAAGCTAAGGGAAGGCAAGTACATTAATAGTTACAAGCTCATGCTTATCTGGGACTCTCCTTCAAGCATTCAATAAACCCTAAGAAGTCTGACAAGATTTCATTTTACAGGGGGGAAAAAATACAAAAAAACCTAAAGGTTGGGAAGTTTAATAATTCGGCTAAGTCGTTAGTTAGGAAAGGGGAGGGATGGGAAGAGAGCACAAGGCCTTCTGGTTCCAAATCCTCCCTCCCTCTTGTGGGGGCCTTGAGCATAATGACCTGCACTCAGAATGAATCTAGTAAAATTTCTCTTTTGTGATCCACTGTTTCGTCCCAGCCCCCACCTCTCCTGCCTCTTACCCATTCAGAAACTACTGTTGACTAGTCAACATAATTTCCTCCAGAGCAGGTGTTCTTTGAGGGAGCAGACGTAAGGAACCTTCTGAAATTGTATGCAAAACAAAACAGAACAAAAAAATTGTGTGTGTGTGTGTGGAAAGAGAGTTATAATTATTTGTTATAGTAATAAGGTTGGTTTTCTCCAATAAAAACTCATACACACACACACACACACACACACACACACACACACACACTTAACACTTCCATCAAATGGACTGACGCCCAAAGGTAAGAGAGCCACTGTCTTAAGGGGTTAACTGATGTCATGGTGACCAAACAAACTGATTTCCAAATCACTTTGCCTGTGCTCGCCAGGTGACTCTGGTGGCTCCTATTTCTGACTTAATGGAAATGAGATTTTCAAAGTTGATGAAGTCTGACTGAAAGGGCAACAAACCTAGACCCTTCTTACCCCTTCATAAAGTTTAAAAATAAAAAAGACAGTAAAATGTCTATATTACCCGTCTTAATTCTCAAAACCAGGGAGAACTGATCTGTGAACAGAATATCCCAGTAACAGAATTCATTATCAGTGATAGTTGGGGTAGTTTCCATAATGTTTTGCTGTTGCCTAAAAAAAGACACTCATTACGTTCTCAATTTAGGTAGGTGGCTGCCACAGGTATATCGTACCCAAAGCATGTAGTATAGAGTACTGGCAGTTGTTTTCAGTGGAGTGTTGATAAAAAGAAACAGATAAAGACAGCAAGAGAGGCTTTTATAGAACTTTAGCTATACTGATGAAAAGGTGTAAAACTGAACTCAGGATGTGGTGGGCTAAAAAAAAAAAAAGTTTAATCTCTATTATTTCTTATGTGAAAAGTTCAGTAGTTTTAATAGAAAACAGAAAGCAAAGTTGAAGCCTATATAACTCAGACTTCCTCCTTCTGTTTCCAAACAGAAGATTCCAACCGCATCATTACTGTCTTCTTTATTTTAAAATAATGCTGAGGTACAAAAAAAACCAAAGGCATTTATGTAGACTTCTTACAGACAAGGACTTCCTTCTTACAAGATATCCCCATGACTTCTATAAAATTTGTATGTTTGGATGACCAGTATCAGGTTGACATAATTTTAGTTCCTTGAGTGAAGAAAATACCTCTTTTTAACTTGCACAAAGATTCCACATTGTGCATTAAAAGACACTGAATTGGAAGGTTTGTAAATAAAATGTTTGTATTTGGAGCTCATCACTCTTTTTTTTAAGTCTCTGGCTTTCTTTTATAACTTTCTTCCTAACCACAAGGGACCTGACCCACCCTACATGAATAATACATGTTTGTTGATAATATCATGATAATATCATGATAATATCATACATGTTTGTATGATAATACTATAGACCTTATCAGTTATTTATCAGGAGTCTGTTCCTACATGAAAATGACTTCACTGTGGTAATATGATATGTCTGCTTCTCTTTCCATCATGTACTGAAAGTGTTGCTTCTTTGGAACTATGTAGAAGGAAAGAAAGAGTTTTGTGGGGTTTTTGTTTGTATTTTGTATTTAAGTATGCTCCACACCCAACATGGAGCTTGAACTCACAACCCTGAGATCAAGAGTTGCACGCTCTAGCTACTGAGCCATTGAGGCATCTCCTGTAAGAAGGAGTTTTAAGTTTATTTATTAATGGGGGGGGGGAGGGGTATAGGGGCAGAGAGAGAGAGAGAGAGAGAGAGAGAGAGAGAGAATCCCAAGCAGGCTCCATGCTGTCAATGCAGAGCCCAACGTGGGGCTCCATCTGCCGAACCATGAGATCATGACCTGAGCTGAAATCAAGAGTTGAACACTTAACCAACTGAGCCACTCAGGCGCCCCATGGAGTTTTAAATGTTGGACACAAAATCAAGAATTATACTCCTAGGAACAGTTGCTAAATGAATCATTCAAAAGAAAGAAAAAGCATCGTATACAAAGCATGATTTTGAGATCGTAACTAAAAATAATACAATAACTAAATGCCCAACAACAAGGAAATGTTTAAGCCAAAACTATCGACAGTATGGAATGTCAGGCTGTCACTAAAAATAGTATCTAGGTTAGGGGCACCTGGTGGCTCACTCTGTTAAGTGTCCAACTCTTGGTTTCGGCTCAGGTCATGATCTCATGGCTTCGTGGAATCAAGCCCCGCATCGGACTCTGTGCTGGTAGTGCAGAGCCTGCTTGGGATTCTCTCTCTCCCTCCCTCTCTTCCCCTCCCTCACTTGTGCTGCCTCTTTCTCTCTCAAAATAAATAAATGGATAAAAAAATTTTTTTAAAGTATCTAAGTTAATAATATAGGAATGTAGGGGCGCCTGGGTGGCGCAGTCGGTTAAGCGTCCGACTTCAGCCAGGTCACGATCTCGCGCTCCGTGAGTTCGAGCCCCGCATCAGGCTCTGGGCTGATGGCTCAGAGCCTGGAGCCTGTTTCCGATTCTGTGTCTCCCTCTCTCTCTGCCCCTCCCCCGTTCATGCTCTGTCTCTCTCTGTCCCAAAAATAATAAACGTTAAAAAAAAAATTTTTTTTTAAAATAATAATAATATAGGAATGTAGAGGAAAACTTATGAACATTAAATGAAAAAAGTAGAATACAGTGCTTTATGTATCCTATGATTGTTTTATGTTTTATTATTGCAATTAAATAAAAATTATGTGCATAGAAAATTGTTGGGTTGAAAATAAGAAAAGTGACTAATAGTTTTTGAGGGGTTCCTGTGTGCCAGGATCCGTTTTCAGTACATTAGATTAATTCATCTAATTTTCACAACAGCTGTGTGAGGTAGGTACAGTTGTTATTTCTGCTTTACGGATGAGGAGACTGAAGCAGAGAAGATCTAAGTAATTTGCCCAAAGTCACACAGCTAGTGAGTGGCAAAGCTAGGATGTGAATATAAGGCAGTAGGACTCTGGATTTTGCACGCTTAAACCATGCAAGTGTGCCAGAGAAAATAAAGGTTTAATCATGGATCATGGGTTTAAAAACAAAAAACAATTCCTTGTATAATGTTTTTATGTTGATTTAATAGTAAGCAAAAACTTTTTAAATTGCAGAGTCAGAAAAGAAGGCACAGATGTAAAACCAGTTTACATTCAGAAGAAACAGAATCAAAGGTAAAGATGAGAAACATACTGAGTGAAACCCTCAGGGTTTGACCAGTTTGTGTTTGGGATTAGTATCTAAATAGTGTTTCAAATGGGTACAGTATAGGAGCGCCTGGGTGGCTCAGTCGGTTAAGCCTCCAACTTCAGTTCACAGTTCGTGAGTTCGAGCCCCGTGTCGGGCTCTGTGCTGACACCTCAGAGCCTGGGGCCTGCTTCAGATTCTGTGTCTCCCTCTCTCTCTGCCCCTCCCCTGCTCACTCTGTCTCTCTCTCTCTCTCTCTCTCTCTCTCTCTCTCTCAAAAATAAACAAAATAATTCAAAATAAATAAACATTTTTAAAAATTTTTAATTAAAAAATGGGTACAGTGTATCCACGACTTGATAGTTCATGAGAATTGAGATAAAATGAGCTATGTCACATCAAATGTTATATTATTATAAGTATGAATAAAAAGTATACTATGCCCTGATGTCTTGCACTTGCTGTTTCTTCTGCCTAGAATGCTCTCTACCTAGCTGCCTCCTCAACAGTGACAGTCGGGAAAACGTGACCATCACTGCGTTAGCAGAAAGCCGAGAAACCATTGGTGAACCGTCCTGACAAACTCCCTGTTATGGTGGAGCTTACATTCTGGTGAAAAGGTCAGTCATTTAAAATTTTAGTTTTAAAATTTTAACTGCAAATTAACAGCATCCCCTCTTGGTAGGTGAATAACGACCCCCAGAGATGTCCACATCTTAAATCCCCAGAACCCAGGAATCTGTTAACCTATATGACAAAAGGAACATTGTAGATGTGAGTAAGTGAAGGATCTTAAAATAGGTAGATTATTGTGGACTATCCAGATGAGCCCAGTGTAGGACTCACAAGAGTCCTACAAGAGGGAAGCAGGAGCTTCAGAGTCAGAAAAGGGGACGTGATGAGAGAAACAGAGGACAGAGAGCAAGGGAGAGGTTGGAAGATGCTACATGGCTTGCTTTGAAGACAAAGGGACTGCAAGCCAAGGATTGCAGGCAGCTTCGAGAAGCTGACAAAGGCAAGGAAACAGATTCTGCCCTAGAGCCTCCAGAGGGAACCGGCCCTGCTGACAACTTGATGTTAGCCCAGTGAAACTGCTTTCGGACTGCTGACCTCTAGAGCTGTACGAGAACACATTTGTGTTGTTGTAAAGCGGTAACTTTGTGATGATATGTTCCAGCAGCAGTAGGAAACTAATAGAGCCCTTAGTAGGAGCTTACTTTTCCCTTGTCTATAAAAAGTTAGTGTCACACTGGCATGATGTCCATAGTGTCAGGGCCCCAGCTCCTTCTGTCTTTTCATGTAGGTGAAACAACCTGGGCAGAAATAGGAATATCTCCAGAGACTCCTGATTTGGGCATCAGGCCATGTTATCACCCACGTCAGTGTTTCTCAAACTGGAGTAAAGTAGAAAGCCCTTATAAACAAAACATTCTTTTTTTTTAACTTTATTTAAGTCCAAGTTAGTTGGGGCACCTGGGTGGCTCAGTCAGTTAAGCGTCTGACTTGGGCTCGGGTCATGATCTCACAGTTCGTGAGTTCAAGCCCCCACATCAGACTCTGTGCAGACAGCTCAGAGCCTGCAGCCTGCTTTGGATTCTGTGTCTCCCTCTCTGCCCCCTCCACCATTCACACTCTGTCTCTCAAAAATGAATAAACGTTAATAAATAAATCTAAGTTAGTTAACATATAGGGTAATAATGGTTTTGTGAGTAGAATTTAGTGACTCATCACTTATATATAACATCCAGTGCTCATCACAAGTGCCCTCCTTAGTACCCATCACCCGTTTTGCCCATCCCCCACCCACCGCCCCTCCAAAAACCCTCAGTTTGTTCTCTGCATTCAAAAGTCTCTTATGGTTGCCTCCCTCTCTGTTTTTTTGTCTTATTTTTCCTTCCCTTCCCCTATGTTCATCTGTTTTGTTTCTTAAATTCCACATATGAGTGAAATTATGTCGTATTTATCTTTCTCTGACTGACTTATTTCACTTAGCATAATATACTCTAGTTCCATCCATGTTGTTGCAAATGGCAAGATTTCATTCTTTTTCATCTCTGAGTAATATTTCATTGTATATATATATATATATATACCACATCTTCTTTATCTATTCATCAGTTGGTGGACATTTGGGCTCTGTCCATAATTTGCCTATTGTTGATAGTGCTGCTATAAACATTGGGGTGCCTGGGCCACTTCGAATCAGCATTTTTGCATCCTTGGATAAATACCTAGTAGTGCAATTGCTGGGTTGTAGGGTCCTCTATTTTTAATTTTTTGAGGAATCTCCATACTGTTTTCCAGAGTGACTGCACCAGTTTGCATTCCCACCAGCAGTTCAAAAGTGTTCCCCTTTCTGCATATCCTTGCCAACATTATTGTTTCCTGATCTGTTAATTTTAGCCATTCTGACTGGTGTGAGGTGACATCTCATTTTGGTTTTGATTTGTATTTCCCTGATGATGAGTGATGTGGAGCATCTGTTCATGTTGAGAGTCTTTAATGTTAGCCATCTGGATGTCTTCTATGGAAAAGCGTCTATTGGGGCACCTGGGTGGCTCAGTTGGTTAAAGCTCAGGTCATGATCTCACAGTTCGTGGGTTTGAGCCCCATGTCAGGCTCTGTGCTGACAGCTCAGAGCCTGGAGCCTGCTTCCGATTCTGTGTCTCCCTCTCTATCTGCCCCTCCCCCGTTCATGCTCTGTCTCTCTGTGTCTCAAAAATAAATAAAAACATTAAAAAAAAAAAAGAAACGTGTCTGTTCATGTCTTTGCCCGCTTTGTCACTATAAACAAAACATTTTCATCCTAATTTACTTAACTATATGTAAATATAAAACTTGTTATACATTATTCATGTTTATAGTATTTTGTACATATTTAAAACCAAAATGGATTTACGCAATAAATTCAAACAAGAATACAAAACCAATTATTGAGACCACACATATCCCCACACTGTAGTGTCACTGGAAGTCACGTGGGGAGCAGTAACAGGAAATTCCTATCCCTCTCAGCCAGGGAGGTGTCACTGAAAACCAGGAGAGAAGTGGAACTTCCAACCCCACCTAGCAGTAATGGGAAGCACCTCCCTTGACTGTCAATGGAGGAAGAGTGGGAAACCCGAACTTCTAACTCCAACTGGTAGCTGGTAGAGACAGGTGCCCCTCCACCTTCCTCTGCCAAAGTAGTGTCAGAAGAAGCCAGATAAAACAAAGGCTTAAATACAATCCAGAATCTCATAACATAATTCCCCAAATGTCCTGGTTTCAATTGAAATAACTTACTATATCAAGAAACAAGATCTCAAACTGAATTTTTAAAAAAGGTAATTAATAGACACCAAGCCAAGATTACAGAGAGGTTAGAATTTTGTGAAAAAGATTTTAAAGCAACCATCATAAAACTGATTCAATGAGGGGCGCCTGGGTGGCGCAGTCGGTTAAGCGTCCAACTTCAGCCAGGTCACGATCTCGCGGTCCGTGAGTTCGAGCCCCGCGTCGGGCTCTGGGCTGATGGCTCGGAGCCTGGAGCCTGTTTCCGATTCTATGTCTCCCTCTCTCTCTGCCCCTCGCCCGTTCATGCTCTGTCTCTCTCTGTCCCAAAAATAAATAAACGTTGAAAAAAAAAATTAAAAAAAAAAAAAACTGATTCAATGAGCAGTTACACACACACTTGAAACAAATATTTTTTTTATATAGAAAATCTCAGCAAAGAAGTAGAAGACCTAAAAATTCACCAAATGGAAATTTTAGAACTGAAAATACAAAACCTAAAGTTTTAAAACTCCATGGATAGACTTCAGCAGGATGCATGAAATATAGAAACTCAGTGAACTGGAGAGAGCAATAGAAGTTGCTCAGTCTGAACAAACAAAAACAAAACAAAGCAAATCCATGAACAATCCTCTGGGACCATAACAAAAGATCTTCCACTTGTGTCTTCAGAGTATTAGTAGAGGAGAAAGAGAGCAGGGCTGAAAAAGCACTGAAAAAATAATAGCTGAAAACTTTCCATATTTTACAAAATCTGTAAACCTACAGATCGAGAAGTTAAGCAAACTTCACACAGGATAAAGGCAAAGAAATCCTTGCTAAGACACATCATAGTCAAACTTCTTAAAACTAAAGACAAGGGGCGCCTGGGTGGCGCAGTCGGTTAAGCGTCCGACTTCGGCTCAGGTCATGATCTCGCGGTTCGTGAGTTCAAGCCCCACGTCAGGCTCTGTGCAGATGGCTCAGAGCCTGGAGCCTGTTTCAGATTCTGTGTCTCCCTCTCTCCCTGACCCTCCCCCGTTCATGCTGTCTCTCTCTGTCTCAAAAATAAATAAACATTAAAAAAAAATTAAAAAAAAAAAACTAAAGACAAAAAAAAATCTTAAAACCAGTGAGTCATGACATCTTACCTATGGAAGGAAAACAATTCGAATGGCAGCTGATTTCTTAACAGAAACCGTGAAGAAGGAAGTAGCACAACAGTTTTCAGTGTTAAAGTAAAATAATGGCCAGCCAGCCTACAATCCTATACCCACCAAAAATATCCTTCAAAAATGAAGGAGAGGGGTGCCTGGCTGGCTCAGTTGGAAGAGCATACAACTCTTGATCTCAGGGTTGTGAGATCGAAACCCATGTTGGGTGTAGAGATTACTAAAAAATAAATAAACAAACTATAAAAAAAGTGAATCAAGTCGTTCTCAGATAGTGGAAAATTAAGATAACTTGTCATCAGCCAACTCACCCTAAAAGAATGGCTAATGGAAGTTCTCCAAACAAAAAGGAATCAGAAAAAGAAGACATCTTGGAATATCAGTGATGAAGAGAGAACACAGTAAGTAAAAATATTGGTAAAGACAATAGATTTTCCCTCTCCTCTTCCTTTTTCTAAATTACAATGGATAGTTGAAGCAAAAATTGTAACATTGTCCAAATGGTTCTAAAAGTATATGAAAGAAATATTTAGGACAATTTAAAATTTTTTTTTCAACGTTTTTTATTTATTTTTGGGACAGAGAGAGACAGAGCATGAACAGGGGAGGGGCAGAGAGAGAGGGAGACACAGAATCGGAAACAGGCTCCAGGCTCCGAGCCATCAGCCCAGAGCCTGACGCGGGGCTTGAACTCACGGACCGCGAGATCGTGACCTGGCTGAAGTCGGACGCTTAACCAACTGTGCCACCCAGGCGCCCCAGGACAATTTTAAATAAAAGAGGGTAAATGTACGTAAAGGGAGCTAAAGTTTATTTATTTTTTATGTTTATTTATTTTGAGAGAGAATGCGTGTGAGAGAGGGGGTAGGGAAGAGAGAGAGGGAGAGAGAATCCCAAGCAGGCTCTGCACTGTCAGCATGGAGCCTGGTATGGGGCTCGAACTCACAAACTGAGATCATGACCTGAGCCAAAATAAAGAATCAGATGCTTAACCAATTGAACAGCGTCCCAGGGAGATAAAGTTTCTATATTTTCTTCAAACTGATAACATAATGATACCAGTAGAAGCTGGTATGTGTATATATATAAACATATGTGTGTGTATATATATACACATATATGTATATAATGTAAATATACACATAATGTATATATAATATACATATATATGTATATAATGTACATATACACATAAT